CAGGTCAGTAATCACACTGAACATCATCACTTACTACGTCAGATATCCCCACTAGACTGAGGTCCACATAGGAATGGTTTTTGGCCAAGAGTCCTGGCCCATCGAGATGAGACATAAGGGAAAGGTGAGGTGGACCTCCACAGAGACCAGAGGAGATCAACATAAATAGATAGTACATCATGGTAGAATTTGTGTCGAGATCTAAATATGTTGTAACATGCGCAAGTGTATCTATATACGCGCTCTGCTGTGTGTTAGCATGCACATATTAGGAGATGAAAATGATGCCCACGGAAGTAAACGTAAACTGGTAAACACTATAAACAAAATTCTTTCTGTTGAGGTGTACAAACTGGTATATTGACATTCGTAATGTAGCAAAAACGATGTTCAGGAGAGGCTCTGTGCACAAGCCATGTCCACTGTCACACAGGTTCATAGTCTCCAGCAGCAGTAGTGGTGGGTTGAGAGGTGGTGGGGGAGGAAGGTTTTGTGGTACTTCATAATCATCTTCTGCTGTCCTTCCAGTCCCTCTCACTACATTGTAGGCCTCATTACTGGTGGGCTGGAGCTGGTCTGGATCTCTGGAGTGAGGATCAGTGGTATAGAAATCAGCTCACAGTGTTTCATATGGGAAGACTTACACATATGTTACTGCTGAGATCTTAGAGAGCTCCACTGATTGATTTGTAGCTCCAACTGTAGTTCTGTAGCAAATCCAATGACGTAAATATTATGTCATACTTATGTAGAGTGTATATGCTCGTGCCTTGTTTTTGCAGAGTAATTCCCACTGCGACTTCTAACACTAGAATCACTACCACTATGACTGTCAGTGAGGTAGTGATCATAAAGGCAACAGCCACTACTCCACCAATAATGGCTGAAGTGTTGTCACATTCACAGCTAGTACTCTCTGCAACAGTCACTTGCAATAAAGGGAATGAATGATAATGAACACAGTTATTGTATCTCATTACCACCTGTGGCATGACAGCACTCCCATAGTTTTCTCCACCGGTGATAATGATAGTGAGATTTTGTTTTATGAAACTCACTTCCTCCCTCAGTAGAGCGAGTGAAGGTGGTGGAAGAGCTCCCAGCAGGGTTGAAGACTGTGACAGTGATGTCATAGCTAGTTCCACTCCTCAGCTTGTCGATAGTGTAGCTGTTCTGGTCTGCAGGGAGTTGTCCACTAGTCCCTCTCTCAGCATTGCGGACTTGTATTCTTCTCGTCTGCTCTGTTAGCTCCCAGCTCACCTCAGAGCCAGTTACATCAGGAGGAAGGGCCCAGGAGATAGTGATGGTGGTGGGCGAAGTCTCAATGCTGTCCATATCTACAACTGGTTTCTCTGGAACACCCACTGATGAATGGAGAATGAGTCAGTGACAGAACATATTCAGCAGTGTTTGGGTCTAACCTAATGTGATTCCTCGAACTTCAAAAGGAGCACTTGTTGGTCTGTTTGGAACTATCGCTACAATGGATATGGTGTAGGTCTGTCCATTGGTGAGACCAGTCAGAGTGTAGCTGTTGGTAGAGCCACCATCAATATCCACATCACTGCCTCCAGTGAAGGAGATCCTGTAGCCAGTGGTATCTCCCAGTGGAGAAGGAGGAGTCCAGATCACTCTGATACTAGTGGGACTATCCTGGACTGCTGTCACATCAGTGGGATGTGGGGGACCTGAAAGTGAGCCAACATCATCACTGCATGACACATTAAAGTAGATACCCTCCAATGTGAAGCTAGCTGATGAAGCAGAAGATGGTTTGTTATTAGCCACAGTACACATGTACACTCCTGCAGTAGTCACAGTCAGAGTGTGGGTGTACTGCGCAGTCACTGGGTCATTCAACACAGTCACAGTTCCTTGGGTGACAGTGGTGGAGTCTCTGGTCCAAGTGGCAGTGGTAGCAGGTCCACCAGTGGAGATACAGGTGAGGGTGAACTGAGGACTGGCTCTGAGGTTTGACTTCACTGTCAGTTCCCCAGGTATTGAGATGTCTTCTGCAATGTAGAATCATTTACACCAGGAATATTCTGTGAGCCAATCAATACATACCTCCTCCATTGTATATTCCCACAAAAACTCTCTGGTAAGTTTCTGTGTTGTCCATTACCTCACAGTGATATATTCCTTCAGCTGCAGTACCAGTACCAGTGTTCCTCCTCAGTCTCACTACCATAGGACCTCTGTTTCTCTCAAATCCAGGAACATCACCACTGCCTAAACTACCCACTATGGTCCCCTCCGGAACATACCAGTTTCCTCCAGAAGTAGTACTACCAGATGGTGGAGGACGGTCAGTGATACACAGTAGAGCAGTGTTATCAGTGGAACCAATGTCACTGATATCCACATAGCTATGATTAGTGAAGATATCTCCATTCAGACTGAGGTATACACCTGGAAAAAGGAAAGCACAAGAGTACAAACCCTCTGCGCAGCACTGTAGCTGCAACTCGCTGGGCATTCGCACCGAAGGTTAATACATCATGACTATATATGTTTTTCTAATTCTCATCATCAGCCTCACTTGGAAGAGTTTCAGCCATTTCTAGGTCACTGTAGACTCCAGGACCAGCATTTTTGACTGCTGCGACTCTAATGAAGTAGGTAGTGGATGACATCAGACCAGAGATGGTGGTCTGAGTGGCAATAGCTCCATTTACAGCAACAATCTCTGTGTTCCCACTCCCCATCACTCCATACTGGACTGAGTAGCCTGTGATGGCTCCATTCTGATGGATACATGGTACACTCCCCCACTGGACAGTGATGGCAGAGGAATTCACATCAGTAACAATCACATCAGGAGGAGAAGCAGATGGAGCTGTGGGTATAGTTATCAGAATATGGGAACACACAGAGGGAACTACTAGGATACTAACCAGCAGTCAGTGTGGTGGCTGTGGTGCTGCCTTCTTGAGTCCCTCCATTCCCAGTCAGAGTGGCAGTGACAGTGATAGAATATTCAGTTCCCTCCTCTAGACCAGTCAGAGTGTATGATGTCCCACTAGCAGAGATATCACTTCTGGAGTCAGTGAAACAGTCAGTGCTGGTGTTGGAGTAGGAGATGGTGTAGGAGGTAGTAGTAAAAATGTCCTCCAGTGCCCATGAGATGGCGAGGGCGGTAGAGTATGAGCCAGTGACTGATACAGTGAGTCCATCTGTGAAGAATACCAGAAAAAGTGTTCAGTGATGACTGTGACTAGCAAAACATTACAACCGACCAATTAAAAGGGGTCTTGTAGCTAAAGTCAGTTGTGCTACTGTATGACATATATAGCTTGATAGCCGTTTGTTTGCTCTGCTTTGTACACATTAGTGCACACTGCCACCTTAATGTCACAAGACATTCTTTTATCTAGCAATCTGCTCTAGAATAGCAGAAGGAAAATGTTAACTTGTGTTGCACCAGATTTATCCAAAGTAAATCAGCTGTGCTGATTGGCTCTCACATTTTTCAACATGACATTACACACTTTTGCACACAATGATGATAAGGTAAAGGTCTGGGTAAAAAATAGATAGTATAACAGACACAAACATGCATGCGCACGGTGCATATACCTGCTACAACAGTGCTAGCTGAAGCAGAAGATGGCTTGTTATTAGACACAGTACATGTGTATTCTCCTGCAGTAGTCACAGTCAGAGTGTGGGTGTACCGCGCAGTCACTGGGTCATTCAACACAGTCACAGTTCCTTGGGTGACAGTGGTGGAGTCTCTGGTCCAAGTGACAGTGGTAGCAGGTCCACCAGTGGAGATACAGGTGAGGGTCAGCTGGCTAGGGTCAAATGTTACTCCAGGTATTGAGATGTCTCCTGAACAAAGTGCAGCAGAGTCTCAATTACCACAGTTAAACATTGCATGGTACTGGCAAGTAATGTACACCCTTGGCTAGTGAGCTCCATAAATACCATTCTCATCTTCGTACCTCCATTGGCAGTATACAGTCCCACATAGACTGTGTCTCTCACTGAGGTGTCAGTATCATCATGGAAAGCAAGAGTTGGAATATCACAGCGATAGATACCAACAGTTGGTGAATTAGCATTAGGGTTACGCCATGTGTCAACTCTCCGAGTTGCACGAACCTCAAAAGTCTCAACATTAGCTTCAGTGAAAGGCAGTTGAGTTCCATTAGGGAAATACCAGTCTCCACGATGAGAACCATCACTACTAGTACAACATGTGGTCAGGTCAGTGATACACAGAATACCTTCACCACCACCAAAGTCAGGTCTCCCCACTAGACTGAGGTTCACATAGGAATGGTTGGCCAGAGTCTGGCCCATGAAGGAGACATTAGGAGCAGTCTGAGAGTAGACCTCCACCAAAGACCAGAGGAGACTCAACATAACTAGATCGAAGCAAGAATACATATCTTCTTCGCCTTTGTTTTTTCGGTGTGCCCTGTCTTGTTTTGCGCATGCATAGTTTTGCTCGAATAAGCGCATGCATGTAGTGGGCGCTAACGGAGAGAAGGAGATGAGGTTCAACGAGAAGAGCTGGGAGCCTGGGCAAGCGTGTTCTCCCCCGACAAGGAGGGTCTGCTGGAGAAGAAAGGTGCGGGGAGAGGACAGGGTGAGCGAATCGCGCCGTCTACCACGTAGCAATAAGATAGCTGCTACATACGAAGGCTGTAGGGTGTTTTATTGTATTTTGCGTGGGCGAATCAAAGGCGCCGCCAGTACTATATTCATCATACAGAACGGTTTTTGAATGAACTGTACTATATCGCGCGTAACTGTACTATATCGCACGAACTGTACTATATCCGCGGACTAGTGTACGCTTTGCGGGAATGACGCCTCGGCGGCCTTTCGTAGACGGAGGTCGACTCAGACGGTGACACAAACAGCTGCTGGAAGGGCGCTCCGCGAGCTTCTAGTCCTTCTGAACTTGCAAAAAAAAGATTTTCCTGGCCGCCGCCTTTTGAACTATATCCGCGGACTAGCGTACGCTTTGCGGGAATGACGCCCTCGGCGGCCTTTCGTAGACGGAGTTCGACTCAGACGGTGACACAAACCGCTGCTGGAAGGGCGCTCCGCGAGCTTCTCGTCCTCTCTTCCGTTCTGAACGCCGGTTTTCCTGGTCACCGCCTTTTGAATCGCCCACGCATACAATAAATTACTTAATGTACGGAAGCACGTGCTGTGCGCGTGATAATGGTACTCGGAACGTAGTCTCGATACATCATACAGCAACTCGGCTGCGCCTCGTGCTGTATGACAATCTCGACCACGCCCCTCGTACCATTATTACGCGCACAGCACTGACTTCCGTACATTAACTACTAGTAGGCGAATGCATGGCATTTTTGGCGAGCGGAAGCGCGCTTACAATTGGGGTCTAATCGTATGAGTAACTCTTATGTGTGCACAAAACAGTGAGATACATTGCACAGGACCAAGTAGGCCGAAACGACCCGAGTGCAGTAGACAATTCGAGTCGAGTCAAAAAGAGTCAGACGAAAGCGCGAATCAGGCTGTGCAGCAATACTCGATAGCTTCGGAGGTGTTGCGTTTCCCCTGATTCCGCTCGATTCAGGCAGCATTATGAAAATGTTGAAATCCCTTTCGGATAAAAAGAAGCGCGTAATGCTGGAGCATGCGCAGTTGGACGACGTACGGTGACATATATATATATATATTATATAGAAAAATCGCGCCGTTCGGACCACTAGGTTAGCTCGCTTCCGCTCGCCAATTACATATCGACTTATGGTGAGACATGTGTCGTCTTGTGTGTAATAACCGGCTGTAGCTGTGTTGTATGTAGCGTGACTGCTGGTCGTAGCATAGATACATACAATACACCAGCTCCATTAATACATGATTCACTATTGGCTCTCACACTCTCTTTGTGCAGGCTACAAAGAGCGGTGGTTCAGACTGAAGGGAAACCTCCTTTTCTATATCAAGGTGGACGAGTTGGGAGCATGGGAGGTAAGAAAGAAACCCAACCAGCCACTCCTTTACTGGTCAACCACAGCTGCTTCAGCTTTTGTATTCTTAGCACAGACTGTATATACACTTCCTTCCGTCTTTGTTGGTCTATGGGACAAGTGTAAGCAGCACATACCTCCAGTGTCGGTATACAGTCCCACATAGACTGTGTCTCTCACTGAGATGTCAGTACCATCATGGACAGCATTAGTTAGAATGTCACAGTGATAGATACCAGTTGGTGAGTTAGCACCAATGTTAACTCTCTGAGTTCCACGAACCTCAAAAGTATTTTTATTATGTGAAGCAAAAGGCAGTCTAGTTCCATTAGGGAAATACTAGTCTCCACGATGACAACCATCTATATTAGTACATGAGCTCAGGTCAGTGATATGCTGAACATCATCACCATCACTAACGTCAGATCTCCCGACTAGACTGAGGTCCACATTAGAGGAATGGTTGGCCAGAGTCTGACCCATTAAGGAGAGAAGGGGAGAGTGGACCTCCACCAGGGACCAGAGGAGACTCAACATATTATTAAGTAGATAGTTGTACACAATTGTACATTGTTGCCCTCATCAGTGCGTTGCACATGCGCAAGCGTATCTATTACGTGCTCTGTTGGTGGGTTACCACGCACATATTTGGAGATGAAACGATGCCCACGAAAGTTAACATAACCGGCTAAAACTACAAACAAAATTCTTCTGTTGAGGTGTACAAACTGACATAGTATTGACATTCATAATGTAGCAAAAACAATGTTCAAAGGAGGAGGGCTCTGTGCACAAGCCATGTCCACGGTCACACAGGTTCATAGTCTCCAGCAGTAGTTGTAGGTTGAGAGGTGGTGGTGGGAGGAATGTTTTCTGGTACTTCATAATCATCTTCAACTGTCCTTCCAGTCCCTCTCACTACATTATAGGCCTCATTACTGGTGGTATGGAGCTGGTCTGGATCTCTGGAGTGAGTCCATCAGTGGTATAGAAATCATCTCACAGTGTTTCATACGGGGAGACTTACACACAAGTAATTGCTGCTGAGACCTTAGACAGCTCCACTGATTGATTTGCAGCTCCAACTGTAGCTCTGTATCAAATCCAATGACATATTATTAGTATTATGTCCTACTGATGTAAGACTGTATTGTCGTGCCTTGTTTATTCCCACTGCGACTTCTCAGCATCACTATCCTTATAACTGTCAGTGAAGTATAATGATCATAATGTAATAGACCTAGTACTTCCTAGTATAGCGTATGTCCAAGTACATTACATTGTCACTCATGTCTATCCCGCATGCGTATTGTATCACTTGTCATCGTCATATAAATCACCCGCACATGCGCATAAGATCAGAGTTGGGAAAGTCCAGAGTGCTAGAGGAGAAAGCGTTTACAGTGGAGGTTCCACCGAGACCCGTCTCGATCCCTGGAAGCACGACTACCTATACTCTTATCCTCGCTACACATGCTGTAGGAACCGGGCTCTTTTAGTTGAGTCGAGAGAGAGCAGAGATGTCGCTGGAGGGAGAACAGACGGAACCGGCAGAACGCCACGAGGAGACACGTGCGGTGAAGACTTTACCGCTAAACTCCAAGCGCCTCACTGCCAAGGTAGTGCGACGAATCGCGGCCGCTCTAAAGCTTCCGAAGGCACCGCTCTCGGATACGCTTCAGATGCTGGAGGGATCGCTTGGCGAGGAGCGCGAACCGTGGAGTGTGCAAGTGGACGTGCTCGAAACGGAGACCAGCTCGATCATCCGCCTCAGAGATGCTGGGGGAGTGTTCCTCGAGGTACCGCCGGACGAGTCGGACGAGGGAGACGAGGCCACGACGAGCCTCGACGAAACGGAGGAGACGGAAGTCAGGGAAGGCCGCGGAAACGGAAGTCCGGGTCGAGAATCGCGATCGGGCGACGAAGAGGAAACGGAAACGGAAACGGAGGCGGCGCTGGAAGTAGCGCGCGAGGATAACGGAGCTGGAGACGGAATTGGAGGAGATGACGCAGAAGAATACGGACCTGGAGACGGAATTGGAGGAGATGACGCAGAAGAATACGGACCTCATGGAGGAGTTGAGAGAGTTGAGAGATAGATTGAAAGATAAGTACCATAATTTATGGAGGATGAACTGTGAGAGTATGATGCTGAAATTGCAAAGAACGAAGCGGAGATGAAAGCCTTACACAGTCGTGTTGCGGCTTTGGAGGCTACATCCCACACGCCTAGAGACCTGGGGCCCTCTGCTGCGTTGGGGCGCAGTACTCAGAAAAGGTATATGCTGTTGTCGATCCGCCTTTAGTCCATGGGTCTGGTGGTTCAGGTCATCCGCGGTGGGAGCCGAGTGCTGCGACCAGGACAGTTCCGACAGTCATGCGACCACTTCTCACAGGAAAGCCTGTACGACCGGCAGTTTCGGGAGACGTAGCTAGTTCTAGAATGCCTCCAGCTGTAGAAGAGTGTCGAATAGATGCTACTGGAACGAGAGCTTCACGAAAACTTGAGACCAGCGAACCCTCGTGTATGTCTAGACATGGGACCACTATCCCGCGTAGTCCTGGGTATGAAACTCCTAGGAGAAGTAAAGCACCTCCAGTGGATTCTTTCAGCGGGGAGACTACGGGAATAACATTTGACGACTGGTTCCCGTCACTGCAACGGGCTTCAGATTGGAATCAGTGGAGTGAAGAAGAGACGCTGATACAACTAGCCGGTCACCTGCGTGGCCGAGCCCTTCAGGAGTGGACCTTGCTGAGAGCCACAGAGAAAGAATCGCTTGATGCGGCGGTTTGTGCACTGCGGAGTCGCCTAGATCCAGGTAGCAGAGCCTTAGCAGCACAGGATTTCCGCCATGCCTCTCAGCGTGAGAAAGAGTCTGTTGCGGATTACATCAGCCGACTGGAACAATTATTTCGCCAAGCCTATGGAAGAGAGGGGATGTCGGATGAGACACGAAACACATTGCTACATAGCCAGTTGCAAGAAGGACTTCGATATGAGTTAATGAAGGTGCCAGCGGTTTCATGGTCACACAGCTACCGCGAGCTGTGTCTTGCTGCTCGGAACGAAGAGAAGAGAGTTGCAGAGCTTGCCAAACGTAGACAGTACCAGAGGAACAAGTGGGAGCATCCGGACAGGCCCGCACCTGTCTTCCACGAGTACGGCCGAGTCAACCACGATCCCTACATTCCAAACCGCTACCCCCAGGAACCAGTACCTGTACCAACCCAGGATCAGCCAGCTCGAAGCAGCAGCTCTGTGACAAGTCAGGAACGCCAAAATCAAGGCCAAGGATCTAGAGCGAGGCGATGTTACAAGTGTAATCAGACTGGACACTTTGCCAGGGAATGCGACAATATGACACAATGAGGAAGCAGAATGGGACCACAGACAGCCGGCCAAGGAGTGAACAGACAAGTGCTGACGGAGGATAAGTCGTACTCCGAAGATCGTGATGTTACCTCGTCGCCTGTGAATTTACTGGACTGCCTTCTGTCACCGGACTCAGAGGATGACTCTGACGTCTGTCAGGTACGCATATCTGATAGAGGAAGTAGACAGCTGTATGCCGACGTTCAGATAGTGGGTGTTCCTGCCAGAGGTGTGATCGACAGTGGGTCGGACATAACAATCATGGGAGGGGAGCTGTTCCGACACATTGCCACTGTGGCACGACTGAGAAAGAACCAGTTTCACAAACCAGACAAGACACCGAGAATGTATGATGGCCGGACATTCACGCTTTATGGAAAGATGGATCTCGACATTACCTTCAATGAAAACGCCCATCTATATCAAGGCCCAAACCTCTGCAGCAGCTTCTTCTTGGGGAAGGTGCATGTTGGCAACTCCAGATAATAAACTACCACCACGATGTGTCAGAAAGGAAGGGAAGGAAGTGGAATCGGCACAATCAGAATGCGTCTGACTCTGGATGACAAGCCGGGTCTCAGGGAGGTGTGGATGCACCCGCTCCAATTGTGGTTGAAGAGAAGACGGAGACTGACACCAAGCCTCGAGAGAAAGGGCCAGAAAGAGAGAATACTGTCGAGAAGGCCCTCATCAGGCGAAAGACACGATCACACGACGCGCCGCATCAGAGATGAAGCGGCCACCTGAGATCATGCTCCTACTGCATAGCAGAGAAGCAGCCAAGCTCAGGAGGATTCACGAGTGAACGTCAGAACAAATGTTACAGAAAGAAACTTGAGACAGGGGATTCACAATTGTTACTCTCTCAGACGGACCACCACATGCTGAGGGAGACACCACAGCATCACGCAAGCATGTTGATGCGCAACCAGACTGAGAGTGTGTCGTAGCACGCTGATGAAGGGGAAGGAGGATGAGATCCAGTAGAGACTGCGTGTGGTGCAGTGTTCGCTACTCCAACTGTGTGCGGGAGTGCCCGCTTCTGTCAGTGTGTGTCGTGGCCGAGCCACCCGACCCCAAGCTCTCACTGGCCCCATGTGTTTGAGCCGTGAGTGGAGGAGGACTGGAACAGAGTGGGTATCCTCGCTGAAGAATTCCCTAGTAGAGGCTGCAGGAAGAGGAGAACGATCAAGTTGCTCGCACTAACAGACGACTGGATCACCCAAATGTGAATGCTGAGCGAGACCATAGGTGATGTCACTGGGGCCTCGGTGGTCTGTGCGGAGGATTTCTAGGTATACTGAAGTTGAGAGTCATGTCTGCTCGAAGGACCTCGGATCACGATCGACGGGAGAAGAGAGATGTCGCCAGGAGGAGGAAAAGCTAAGGGAGCATTGGAGACTAAACCTGCCGTGATGAAGAAAAAGAAACAGTCCAGACATTCCTTACTCACTCATCACCTGCGTGCTTCTGCCTCGAACAGGGGACACGAGGAGAGACATATCTCATTCGCCAATGCAATTGATTACAGGTGCCGACTCACCCGAGCGCGGAAGGAAGCAAAGAGTACGGAGATTCCTGCCTTACGACAGATAGTGGCCCAGCAACTGAAGGACTGCAGAACGAGCTGATATACAACGTCTACGTCCCCGTGCGGCTAGCCCAGTGGTCCTGGTGAAGCAAGCCCGAGATGTACCCAACAGATTCTGTGTGGCACTACCAGCGGACTACATTACCGTCACAAACCAGACAGCTTTCGCTGCCGAGATCGAGGATCTACTTGATGTCGCTGGGGCACGCCAAGTACTTCTCGTCCATCACACCCTGCCTCTGGGTCTGCAACTCTGAGACTACACCACAACTCCCCCAGGAGGAAAAGAGCGACGAAAACAGCATCGGGACGCCACCAGGACTCTACGAATTTCGAGTATGCCTTTTGCCTGACATATGCCCCTCCTGTCTTTCACCGGCTCATGCAACAAGTCATCTCAACGCTCAATTCAGATCAGAGTCAGAATTTGTCTCCGTCTATATCGAGCACATCTCGTGTTTTCTAAAACTCGGGACGATCACTAGCTACACCGTGCGAGCTGTTAGGCAGAGGATCCTGTGACGGTTGGGCATGACAGTGTGTGAAAGGCTGACGTTGAAGCCACCAAGTGTCGTGGTGTGCAAAGGGAGTTAGAGTATCTGGCCACATTGTGTCACGACTCACGCTGGGATAAGCCAAATCCTCGCTTGTCTTGCTGTGAAGAATTCCCAGAGCCTGCTGCTGCTCAAGAGACCAGAAGATTTGCTAGGACTCTGTTCCTCATTATCGGACAGTTCATTCCCACTTGCGACAATAGCAAACCTCTTCATCATCTCTCACACGTCGAGACTCGGTTTTTCTGTGGTCTCCAGAAGGTCGGCATGCATACGAAGACCGTGAAAGGAAGCTCATTTCTGCCCACAGTCTTAGCCTACTGTGTGAGTGGGGGAGAACTCTTGTCCTGTGGGTGTGTGGATGAATATGTGTGTATGTCAGCCGGAGGGTATTGTTATTATAGCTGCGTATGTGTACATCTGTCTATTGTTATGTAATCGTTCTCAGCTGTACATGTGGTCATGTGCACTGGTTCATATGGTTATGTAATCGTTCTCTAAGGTTCCATCGGAACACGAGGTCACCCAGTTATATAAGTTTCGCCGAGACATGAGGAAGAGCTTGCAGCGGAGAGAGCGCAACGAAAAGCGAGACACGGAGACGAAATGACGAGTTAGCGGCGGAGAGGATGCGCGAGACGAGGAGAGGATGCGCGACAACATGCTGCTCGATGAATGAGCAAATCGACATGATGCGCAGTCTCGTGGAGACGTCACGGACGCGGTGCTCCCGTGTGGTGATGGGGCGAACGGTCGAGGGACACGGGCCAGTTAGGGACAAGCTGGTCCTTACGAGCTCACCGACGCTGATGATTATTGAAGCATTCTGACCATGACGGTGTATGGGGTGGCGGAGGATCGTCTGTGGCCATGAAGCTGGCCCCACAGCTAACAGGCCGTGCTCTGGAGTCCTATGCAGCACTGAGTTCCGCTGCAGCTGCCAAGTACAAGGAGGTCAAGAAGGCCATTCTCTGCCGTTACGATATTAGTGAGGAAACGTATCGACAGCATTTCAGGTCAACCCGGAGAAAGGACGGGGAATCCTACACTGAGTTGGCCACTCGACTGAAGAGTCTCGCGACCAAGTGGCTCACAGGGAGTGACTCTGTAGCAGCAGTCATCGAGAAGCTGGTAGTTGAACAGCTGCTTGACATACTACCACAGGACTTGTGTGTTTGGCTGTGTGAAAGGAAGCCTACTAACAGAGATGAAGCAGCAACTCTCGCAGATGACTACTGTCTGGCTCGAAGACGGAGGCGCGGAGACACACGCAACGACAGTTCACGACAAAGGGGCAGCAGGTGTTTTCGGTGTGATCAAGAGGGCCATTACGCATCGCAATCGCCCGAAGAAGAACTCCAGCAACCAGTCGCTGAGACCGACACAAAAGAGAAACCACAGGAAAAATCAAAGGGCAAGTGTTGACCCCCCCCAGTGTTACAACTGCCAGCAGAGGGGACATCTCGCAAGAAACTGCCCCAAAGCACTCTACTGCCCCAGACTTTAACTCAGATTTTATCCTCGAAACTGACGCCTCGGTACAAGGTCTGGGAGCCGTACTGAGTCAGTTGCAGACAGATGGGAAACTCCACCTGTCTCCTATGCTAGCAGAGCCCTGAATGATGTCTGAAAAGAGATATGGGCTCACAGAATTGGAGACCCTTGCAGTCGGTGTGGGGTATTTCACATTTCCATCATTTCCTTTACGGACTCAACGTCACAATCTACACTGACCACACAGCCGTAAAAGCTGTACTTGAAGCCGAGAACCCTACTGCAAAGCATGCTCGCTGGTGGACGAGAGTCTATGGCCGAGGTGTCAGGAATGTGAAGATCCTGTATCGAGCAGGAAGAGAAAACACTAACGCCGACGCTCTTTCCTGCAGCCCTCACTTGCCAGCACCTGTTGTAGGAATTGGGGAGGATGAAGTTCAGGTTTCGACCATTGCTGCTGAATGCATCTGGGGAAACAGTCCTACCCAACCTCTGCCATCAACGGAATGTGTCGCACTCAGCTTGCATGAATTCAGCCAATCCGGAGATGAAGGATGGTCAACGCGTGTCCAAGAACTGCTCAGATTGACCCGACCAGCGCCAGATGTAAGGTGTGCATGGCTGGGTGACGTCAGTTCAGCAAGACCCAGGAAGACACTACTAGGAGAAGCTACTTTACTCTCTGAACTACCCTTCCCCTTAGCAGATGAAGACGGACTTAGACCTCAGCCGAACATTCGTGTCAAACCGTGTGTGCCCCCAAACCATAGCAAGTCGACAACCTCCAGGATGGATATGGCCATTGAGTCAGTGGCCGAAGATGTAGCCATGTTATCTACCTCAATCCTGTCCCCTCAGTCGTTACCAGGACACAGTGAATCTCGGCAATCATTTCATCTACCGCCTACTCCACCACGTAACATCTCAATTGTCCAGACTGAGGGTAGTGTGACCATGACTCTTGTGTACAGACTTCTTCCACCGCAGCCAGATGCTTCGAGAGGCAAACAGCAGATGGCTTCTGCTTCTTTAGGCCACCAGACTCCGGAAGACGAAGAGCTAACTACACCCCAAGGAAGCACTGCTGGCGGCCTTCTAAGCCACTCAGTCACTGACAGTCTGGAGAACCAGACTGCCCCTCGTCCAGGACACACGGAGAAGCTGACGGAGAGTCACACAGAGAAGTGTCAGACGGAGAGTCACACAAAGAAGCCTCACTCAGTTACTGACAGTCTGGAGAACCAGACTGCCCCTCGTCCAGGACACACAGAGAAGCAGACGGAGAGTCACACAGAGAGTCAGACTGAGCCTCACCCAGTGGAGAGCCTGACAGCCTAACACTCAGCATCGAACAGTGTTGGACACCAACTCACTGGAGGGAGTCGGGACATCTCTGCCACAGAGAGTAGCAGAACGAATTCTGACTCAATTACTGCGAACCATGGGGTCTGCGACTTCCAGTGTTCAGTCAGTGCCACTTCGGTCCCACTCCACAGTTCACCGAACCAATCAAGATCTGACCAAATTGACCAGTCCAGACACGGGACCAGAACACCCTTCTGAGATGTGTTGTCAACCTCTGCGCCCAATGGATGCAAGTACAGATGGATGGAGTGGGGATGTACGAGAAAGTTCGCCTCAGGGTACTTCAATGCCTGTAAGAGTCTTTGCAGTGGAGGCTGCGGATGGTCCAGAGGACTTGTCGACCCTGTTGCATAGACCAGCTATACCAGGAGAACCACCCCCCATGAGATGCTGAGCGCGGAGCAGACTAAGGACCCTGAGTTACAGCAGCTCATTCTTTTCATAAAACAAGGTTGTCTACCACCAGAAGAAACATTGCTCGGAAAATGGCCCTCCAGCGATCCCTTTTCACTGTTGTGGAGGGGGTACTCTATTATGTAGACCCAAGGTGTGGAAACCGAAAACGGGCTGCGGTGCCACAACATCTGCGTGACCGACTGCTGGAAGAAACACATGCTGGTCCGTATGGAGCTAATTTCTCAGGACAAAGGATGTTTAACATACTTGTGTCTAGCTGGTGGTGGGAACGCATGTTCAGCGATGCCTCAAGGTTTGCTAAGGCATGCCCAGAGTGTGCCATCACCACAGCAGCTGGCCGGCGGATCAAACCACCACTGCACCCAATTCAAGTTGGAAGACCTTTCCAGATATTGGGGATTGACATAATGGATCTTCCCCTGACAGACAGTGGACATCGTCATGTGGTTGTCATCCAAGACCTGTTTACAAAGTGGCCTTTCATATTCCCAGTGGCAGATCAAAGAACTAACAGAATAGCACGACTCATAGCTGAGGAGGTCGTTCCCTGGTTCGGAGTACCGGAGGCACTCCTTTCTGACCGAGGAGCAAATCTTTTGTCTCATCTTGTCCTCGACCTTTGTAAGTTATTGGGAATTACCAAACTCAACACCAGTTCATACCACCCTCAATGCGATGGAGCGGTCGAACCATTCAATCGAACTCTAAAACAGATCCTAAGGAGACATGTGGCCCGCTTTGGTCGACAATGGGACCGGTACTTACCTGGAGTACTCTGGGCATATCGTAATGCACCACTGGGTGAGGCTCAGTCTGACTCTCTGTGTGACTCTCCGTCTGCTTCTCTGTGTGTCCTGGACGAGGGGCAGTCTGGTTCGGGATATGATTGGTATGGGACAAACGGAAAGGTCCAGGAAGACCTCCAAGATGGGTGGATAAGTTGCTCACAGAGGGCCCACGAAACCAACGGGACAAACAACAAAGTGGTACTCCCGATATCGTCGCAGCATCAGACAGTCAGTTGCAGGGAGATGTAGAAGCAGCAGGTGACCCACAGGAAGATGTTATGCAGGCAGCAAACGAAGTCACCGATAGTGTGGACTCTGACATTGCAGATGCACCAGACCTAGACGATTTTCACATTGAGGAGCATGATGGGGCCACCGTACAAGACTCTCAGACTGTAGTTGTCCCGCAGGAAATACCATCTGTTTCCAGGTCGCCGGACTCAGCAGCCCAATGCCAGCCCCAAACTCAAGTGCCTCACAATAGACAGGAAGATCCTCAAGAGAAGATTCAGCCAGCCGCCCCAGTTGAGGGCCCAAGACAGAGGTTGCCTGGTGGGAGGGGTTCCCAGGCAGGTGCAGCAAGACCTCAGGAGAGATCGCCGTCTACGGCAAGTAGTGAGACCCCCGACCGATTCCTCTAATCAAGTCCGAGGGCGAACTTCTGGGGAGGAGGGGATAGTGTAATAGACCTAGTACTTCCTAGTATAGCGTATGTCCAAGTAAATTACATTATCACTCATGTCTATCCCGCATGCGTATTGTATCACTCATGTCATCGTCATCACATGCATATAAATCACCTGCACATGCGCATAAGATCAGAGTTTGGAAAGTCCAGAGTGCTAGAGGAGAAAGCGTTTACAATAAAGGCATTAGCCACAGCCACCACTCCACCGACAATGGCTGAAGTGCTCTCTGTATCGCAGCTTGATCTGGCTGGAACAAACAAAAGAGTTATGCAAAGGTGAACTATGAAGCAAACTCTCATTTACCACCAGTGGAGAAACGTATCGGAGTGCTGTCAGTGGTTTCAGCTACATTAGTGCCTGCTACAGTGAGTGTGTAGATAGTGGAGGGGTCCAACTGGTGGATGGTGTATATAGGTAGTGCCAGACAGAGGAACACTGGTGCTCTCAGTGCCTCTGTCAGTTGGTCTCCAGTCCAACTCCCAACTGGCCACCTTCCCACTGGACACACTCCAGGAGAGGGAGATGGAGGTGGCTGTTATTGGAGCTCACTAACACAAACACCTGTCCTAGAGCTGGGCACGGAAAAGGGTATTACATTTAGATGAACTGTAGGACCCTATCTCTCTCTTACTTAGTGTGATTTCAAATGTGGTGGCATCACTGAAGAGGTGTTCAGGTGTAGCTACAATGGATATGGTGTAGGTCTGTCCACTGGCGAGACCAGTCAGAGTGTAGCTGTTGGTAGATCCACCACTGACAGTCTCACTACCACTGCTGCGTTCTCCAGTGAAGGAGATCCTGCAGCCAGTGGTATCTCCCAGTTGAGAAGGAGGAGTCCAGGTCACTGTGATACTAGTGGGACCATCCTGGACTGCTGTCACATCAGTGGGAGGTGGGGGATCTGAAAGTTAGCCAACATTATTACTGAATGGCACAATACAATACGTTACAGCAGAAACCCTGCAATGTGATGCTAGCTGAAGCAGAAGATTGTCTTCCATTTGACACAGTACAAGTATACAGTCCTCCCAGTCTTCCAGCCACAGTTAGAGTGTGGGTGTACTGTGCAGTCAACACAGTCTGGGTTCTTTGGGTGACAGTGGTGGAGTCTCTGGTCCAAGTGACAGTGGTAGCAGGTCCACCAGTGGAGATACAGGTGAGGGTGAATTGAGGACTGGCTCTGAGGTCTGACTTCTCTGTCAGTTCCTCAGATATTGAGATGTGTTCTGCAATGTAGAGTCATTTACTGCAGGAATATTTATTTATTTATTTATTTATTTTTTAGCTTCACAGTACATGAAGAAAGGGACAAAAAAACTAAACCAAAAAAGGACAGACATAGCTACAGACTTTGTGACATGTACTGACGGAACACCAACAAAGTGTTGATGACCTAGATGGTAGAATAATTAGTTGCTATTGATGAGCAAACACACACAGAACATGGGCAAATGTAGTGAAATGTGCACGGATTCGTACTCACAAAATGAGAATCAAAATGTGATCAAAATCATAATTATTCTGTGAACCAATACATACCTCTTCCATTGTCTATTCCCACATAAACTGGTTATTATTTCTGCTTTACAGTACATGAATAGATGAGGACAAAAAGAATGGGAAAGGTGAAATAAAGTATGTACTGAAGGAGCACCAGACAAGTGCATCTGGTGTCCTAGAGCTGAGAGGAGGAGAATGAATGCACTATATATGGACATGCTAACACACTTTGGACATGGACATTGATAGTGATAAGAGCATGGATTTGAACTGTCAAAGTAGGATTGGAATTTCATCCAGAATAGTCTATGGAGATGGGCCTTTATAGTAGAGATGGAGAGTTCTAGGTTTATTGGGGGAAGAGAGTTCCAGAGCCGTGGTAGACGATTGAAGAAGAGATGACCTTCCGTGGTTGATTTTGACAGGGAATGTTTCAGTTTGAGGTGAGATGAGGACCGAGTGCTATGGTCAGAAAATTGCACGAAAGAGTGGATGGAAAATTCTTGGGTGGTGTCGGGGTCTTTGAGGCAACGAATGAAAAACAGGATGTCAAAAAGTTCTAATTGCATCATCAATGGTAGAAAGTTGAGTGACAAGAGTCGATCTCTATAGTTAGAGTTGTAGTCATTTAGGATGTACTTGGTAGCTCGACGTTGAATACGTTCAAGTGCAGAAATATCCTTAAGAAGGTTTGGTCTCCAAATTTGTGAAGCATAAGTTAGCTGAGAGCGGACAAGAGAGAGATAGAGTTTCTTCTTGGATGAGAGAGGTAGCCTGGATGAGAAGGAACGCCTGATGAGACCTAGAATTTTGTAGGCTCGGGAGGATATAAAGTTAAGGTGGTGGCACCATTTGAGATCACAAGACATTAGGATGCCTAGGTCACGATGGCAGTCAACGACTTGGATTGGCATGTTGTTTAAGGAGTAATCAAATAGGATGCGAGGTGAACTGAGGCAGAATCGGAGTAGCACACATTTCCTTTCGTTGAACTTGAGGTTCCACCTTGTGGCTCCAATTAGATAAACAGAGGAGGTCTTCTTGTAGTAAATGACAGTCAGTTTGAGAGGAGATTTTCTTTAGGCATTTTGTATCATCCGCAAAGAGAAAAACATTTGAAGATTTAGTAGATGAAGGGAGATCATTAACAAAAATCAAGAAGAGAAGAGGGCCGAGAATACTGCCTTGAGGCACACCAGAAATAACCGGAAGAGGGTCAGAGATACAGTGATTGAGTTTCACATGTTGGGATCGATGTGAAAGGTAAGCCTTGAACCACCTCCACAGATTACCAGTAATTCCGAAAGTCCAGAGCTTAGCTAGCAGTTCATTGTGAGAAACACTGTCAAAAGCTTTTTTGAAGTCGAGGTATATAACATCAGCTTAGCAGTTTGAGTTTAAAGAATCTTGGATGGAATTGAGGAAGATGAGTAGTTGCTGAATTGTGGAGTGATTAGGGCGGAACCCAAACTGGGATGAAGAAATTGAGGCAGAAACAAAGTGGATTATTTTATCATAGATAAGTTTTTCCAGAAGTTTTGAAACAGAACATAGAAGGGAGATTGGACGGTAGTTACGAACAGACGATTTGTCACCAGACTTGAAGACTGGAATGATCAAGTGTGTACGCCATTCTGCAGGAATGTGGGAGTGGGAAAGGCTAAGTAGGAATAGGTGATGGAGAGGTTTGTAGAGAGCAAGTGCACAGTGATGAAGAACATTAGGACTGATAGTGTCGATTCCAACGGCTTTAGATGTATCCAGTGAACACAAGGCTTCAAACACATCGGATTCTGAGATACCTATATCAGATAGGGTAGGGGTGGGTGATGCTGAATCGTGCAGAGGAGGAATTTGGTAGGCACTCAGCGTAAAAACAGAGTAGAAAAACTTGACTTGTGACTCTCCGTCTGCTTCTCTGTGTGTCCTGGACGAGGGGCAGTCTTGTTCTCCAGACTGTCAGTAACTGAGTGTGGCTTCTTTGTGTGACTCTCCGTCTGACACTTCTCTGTGTGTCCTGGACGAGGGGCAGTCTGGTTCTCCAGACTGTCAGTGACTGAGTGGCTTAGAAGGCCGCCAAGAGGACCTTCTCACTGTCGGTGGAGGCAGTGGAAGAGTCAAAGGAGACAATCGGAGGCACTAGTTCCTGTGTTGTCTTTTACCTAACAGTGATATATTCCTTCATCTGGAGGATCAGCAGTGTGGTATTAGTGCATGCAGAATGTGTACTGACTGTATGTGTGTATGCTGTACTTGTGCGCATGTGCAGTCTGTTGTATATAAGTGTGTTGGACGCTGTTTATAGGGTCTGTGTACTCTATCACAAACTGGTGAACTACGGTGCGTGCTAGCGGGCTATACACGCCAGAGTTACACGTTACTACATGGTGGCAGCGGTGACAGCATCTTTCGAAAATGTCGACTGATCCACCAGCCGCAGACGCACCAGCAGCAGCACCGGCGAGAGCGCAACCGGTGACGACATCGTTTCAGGTATCGATACCTGAGTCGTTCACCTTCAGCCGCCCCGGAGAGTGGCCCCGATGGATCCGCCGCTTCGAGCGATTCAGGATCGCATCAGGACTGTCGCAGAAAGAGGGAGATGTGCAAGTGAACACGCTGATTTATGCGATGGGAGACCAGGCCGACGATATTCTTCGTTCGTTCGTGCTCTCGGGGGAAGACCGCGAGAACTACGAGACGGTCAAGACTAAGTTCGATAGTCATTTCGTGCAGCGCCGTAACGTTATCTTCGAGCGGGCGAGGTTCAACCGCCGGAGGCAGGAAGAAGGCGAGCCAGTAGAGTCATTCATTACTGCTCTATACTCGCTGGCGGAGCACTGCGGCTACGGCAACCTGCACGACGAGATGATCCGCGACAGGATCGTGGTGGGCATCCGAAACAACTCTCTCTCGGAGAAGTTGCAGCTGGACCCGCGACTCACCTTGGACAGCGCCATTACTCAGGTCAGACAGTCAGAAGCCGTAAAGCAGCAGCAACCATTGTTACGCGGTAAACCTGATACCCCAGTTGGTGCCGTCAACAAGTCTCGGGGTGGGATTACGTGGGGTAGTAAGAACAACCCAGGTGTAAGCCCTACTGCAAGCCAAAAACCGCACAGGTGCAACTGGTGTGGCAAGATCCCTCCTCATGATAAGTCCAGGTGTCCAGCTAGAGATAAAATCTGCAACAATTGCAATAAGAGAGGCCATTTAAAAATTGTCTGTAAAAGTCCAGCCAGAGTCAATGGTGTGTGGGTGCCTGCTGAGGATGCATTCCTAGGGGCTGTGTCAGACAGTAGTGAGGGTGACCCATGGACAGTAAAGCTGACACTCCAAGGGAAACGAGTGGCTCTCTACATAGACACAGGAGCAGAGGTGACC